TTGATCGAGAGAAGATTATCATAGCTTTAAAAAACAAAAGAAAAAAAAATTTCAGGACACTGTACAGTGGCAGCCAGCGATGTGAAATCACGTATTATTCCTGTGTTTCTGTTTACATGTGTAGGCCATTGTAAAAACAAATTTGTCAAGCCGATTAATAAAATGGAATTTATTTTTCTTTATTATTTTTTATTTATGATACAGTTTTTATTGCACTTTCCCAAAAAGATCTTCACCTAACATTGTGACCAAAAGTGAGTGAAAGCGGTTCTTTTTTAGAATATGTAAAGAAAACATGTCTGGTTACAATCTGGCACTTGATGATGAAAAAAAGAAGACTTTTGACGTATTAGTACGGTATTACGTGGGATTGTGAAGTTATCAATTAGATTGATTTTCTCAGTTAATAAATGTAAACGAAATCATCAATAACAAATGTTGGTATTTTAGTTATGTGGTGACTTTGCTATTTTGTTTAAGAAAGCTAGCAAGAATCATTTGGCTTATTAATTAATAAATTCAGGACTGAGCATATCATTAACTACCTCACACCATTTAACAAGTGCCAAATCAGCGTTATAGCATTTTATTTTATTTTCGAAAGCTGCGTGACAAAATTGAAGGGGTCGTTAAAAAATGGCTGTTTAATCTTAGTTTAGTTTTAGTAAGGTTTTACGGCGCTCGCAACTGCATAAGGTCACATGAGCGCTAAGGGGTGGATGTCAACAGAGAAGTCCAAAAGGGGAATCAGGCTTACTCTGCTCACCTGTCTAGCATCAACAGTACAAAGTCTGCTTCGACTATCATGGGACCCCGGAAAAAATAGCATGAGCAGTTCACAAGAGAGTGATAAACATGCAAAAGAAGTAGAAGGGGGGGGGGCGGAAACGACAGTAAGGATGAAGAAAGAAAAGGCAGCTATTTACCCTATGTTGTTCCGGCACAGTATGAGTACGACATTGATAAATCAGCCCATTTACATTTCTACTGTGCATAAGAACATGTTAATATTCCCCCTTTGGGAATGGCCTAAAGACAACTTCTGTCAGTAGCACCTATCTGGTGGGGGGAAAGGAGTCTTAGTCATAATTTGCTTTTTACAAAAGTTCTAAGTATGGCCACACACGTCACAGGAAATTGCGCTAGACTTTTACGTTTTCATCCTTTGTTGCCGTCAAGAGTCGTGAGTAGATGCAGTGTCCTATGGTAGTCCAGCTCTTTTAATTGGGATATTATCATTCTTAGGGTTTCCTTGACTGCCTCAATCCATCTTTTGCGTGGTCTACCTCTTCTTTTACAGACTGAGTACATGGTGTTAATAATAATAATAATTAAAATTATTATTATTATAATAATAATAATAATAATAATAATAATAATAATAATAATAATAATAATAATAGCTTTTGTATAGCACGTAATATTCCCTCTCGACAGCAAGCTCTATGCGCTTTACACTATAATAGTATTACCCCAGCAGACCATAGAAGACTGAGAAATAGTCTCAGCTTCCCTGGAAGGTATAGGTTTTCGAGGCTGGCTGGGTAGGTGACATTCGTAATAGGTGGCCAAACCATTTTATGTTCTATCTTTCTATGAAATGCGTGCAGGGCTAAGTAGTTGCTCTTCTTCATTTTTTCTGCCTGTCTCTTCTTGTGCTGTAAAGGGCTTTGCGGGGACATTAATTTCATCTCGCATGCAGTGATTTTATTTTCATGGATTTTACTTAATGTCCAAGTTTGGCTCTGGTAGCATAATGCTGGTATAAATATTGAATTAGTGATAAGCTGTCTCTTTGTGTCCATAGATATGTATGGGTGTAACAGAAGGGGTGCGAGCTGGTAGTCGACGATGTTGGCTTTTTTGAGCTCTTGTTTCTATTTCTCTATCTATGGAGGCGATTTCAGAAAAAGTGCTGCCAAGATATTTAAATCCCTTCACCATACACAGTTTTCGAATGAAATGCCATGGAGTCTTTAAACAGCATCAGAGAGGCTCTGGTGTGGTTTGGTCCCTCTTTTCTATCAAACATCTATCGTCCTTACCTGTCCTTCTTCTTTTTGTATTTGTTACTCTCTTGTAACACCTCTAACCTTGGGCACCTATATGACCTACCTGTGTTGCAAGTGCCGTAAAACGCTTTCTGAAACATTAAAGCATAAAACAAACAGCTTTTACAGACTTAACAAAAGATCTTAAAGCGCAGTATATCCACGCATAATTCCAGCTTTATTTTTTTTCCTGAAACTACCTCAGTGTGACTTAGACTCTCAATTTTTATGGGCGCTTTAAGTGATCTTCTGTTCAAATCTGTACCTGTGTGGCTCATTAACTTGAAGGTTATCACAATGAGCGGAGAAGACCTATACAAAAGTATAGTATTATTATAAAGAAAGGTGTGTCTGGTTCAATAAACGGCAGAAGAGGAGAGGGAGAGAGAGGGAAGGGGCAAAACGGGAAGGGAGAAAGAGATAGCAAGAGAGGGAAAGGGGAGAGAGGGCGGGAGGATGAGAGAGGAAAAAAGTGGAGACGGAAGGGAGTTGTAGAAGGGGTAGCCACAGAATGAGAGAGAAAAAGAAGAGAGAAAAAAAGAGAGAGAGAGAGAGAGAGAGAGA